AATAATATAAATTTTTACATATAAATATTTCTAATTTTGGTTTATATATATATAAATAATTTTTTAATTATATTATTAAGCGGGGCGGGGGCGGGGTGGGTATTAACATCCCCGTCCCCGCCCCCGCCCCCGATTTTATCAATCGGGGAAAACCCAAACCCGAACTCGAACTTGATAAATACGGGTTTTTCCCGTCTAAATCGGGGCGGGTTCGAGCGGTACCCACGAGGACGGGTTAGATTGCCATGCCTAATCAACATCACTAAGCATACTTATGCCCGGTACAGTTAGTTCGCGCCTGACCTAAATCTAACTCGATAGCTCTAAGCTCTTCCACGCTCGGTGCATTTAACTCGCGTCCAGCGTTATTCAAATAGAGACTCACAAGAGTCTCCACGCCCGACGCATCAACCCTGTGCTCGGTGCCGTCTAGACAGAGACCTCCAGAGGTCTCCATGCCCGGTGCACCTACCCTGCGCTCGACGCCATATCAGAAAATGCCATGCAACATCACCATCTGATATCTCGCTCAGCGTGGCTCTCCTCATGCCCGGCGTGATTCACCTAGAGACTCTCATCTTAATCGCGCCCAGCGCGACTAACCTCGCGCTCGGCGTGATTAGAAAATGGCTGCTTCTAATGAATGCACGCTCGACACCAAGAACATGCGCACGGTGCAAATTCAAATAGAAGCCTCAAAAACTTCAAAAAATTCCATCCAAAACCTAAAAATCAGGAAATCCATCCACATGCAATCCATGAAATACAATGCATAGGCTCCATACAACTCGAAAATAAACTCAGATTCAACATGCACCCATCCGATGCATCAAAATCACCAAAAACCCCATTTTTCCCAAAACCCCAAAAAAAATGAGAAGTTCTTCCATTCAACCATTGATTCTCAAGATTCATGCATCAATTGAGTTCCTAAACTCACATGCAACCAATCAACCTACATTCTAGCTTCCCTCACCCGAAAATTGGCTCGTCTGAAAATAATTTGTAAACTCTTGTGTTTCATTTTTTAATATCTTTATTATTGTGGTTATTGAAGAACGATTTTTGAAGCTTCTCATGTGAACCCTTTTATCGAAATTTAAACATTTATTTGTAAAGTTACAGTTTATGTGTTGGGGTAGTAAGGGTGTCACAATGATTTCATGAAGTTTATGGCCTAGTTTGAAGCACTTATATCAATTTTCCTTGTTTTAGACCTTATTTTTAACTCAAAACATATATAAATTATTAGGTGATCACATTTTGTCTTTGAATCATGTTTTTAGGTAACTTACAAGTTTTTGGTTATTATTTTGTAGTTTAGGAGAAAGCTAGGAAAGAAGGAAGGAAGTCAAGCACAAAGTGGTGAATTTGAAGTTGAAGGAATTTGTGGTTAAGTCCCCAGGCTAAGCCCCAGATTCAAGCTTAGCCTCAGCTTGGCAGAGAGTCCCTGGAACAAAAATTCAATCCTCATGCTGAGCGTGGAACTGAGGCTGAGCGTGGGAGTCCCAGAACCTCATTTCTCTCCAGACCTATCATCAAGCTTAGCGTGGCTTCTCACGCTTAGCGTGGATTGTGCTGACATGTCATTATTCACATAAGACAAAAGCTTTTATGACCTAAAAGTGGGATTTTCGAAGAGAGAAGTAAGGAGGATCATTCTTGGACTTTGTGTGGCGGCTGGAGAGCTCTGGAACCTTCAAGATCAAGCTTCTTCCTTTCTTCATCATTTGTAGAGTTCTACATGTCTATGTGTAGCTAAACTCACCCTTGTTGGGGTTTGATGTAACTAAACCCATTCTCATGTGTAAACTCTAAGCTATCAATCTAAGTTGTTATTCAGTTTTATTGCTCTTTTTCTGTGCATAATGCTTGTTATGGCTTGATCACCCTTAACTTGAACTTAAGGTTTTTAAGAGATTGAGAAATGATTTTAAACCTTTGACTTGAAATAGAGCAGCTAATGGTGCTTATTGCTAGAGATAGAGTAAATGCCATTGGTCTTTCTTAAGCTCTTGTTTTTAAAGCTGGTTTCTAGGTTAAACTATGCAAGAGATTGATAGTTTAAGCTAGTAACTTAGATGCCAACTTGTAAGAGATTAGGGTTGGTTACTTTTGAGAGTGATTGATAAATTCTGAATAATAACTATTGTGAACTTAGTGATAAGCATGAGAGGAAGGTTTAGTGAAGTCAAACCCCAACAATTTATTAATATTGCATTAGAATCAAGTTTTGCACTCTAAGTGTTTACCAAAATACCAAAAAGAATTGTTATTGTTTGTTTACATTATTTACTGCAACAAATCAAACTCTTATTGCTTTCCGGTAGCTTAGTTAGTATAACAAGTGAAACTGCAATGTGTTGCGCAAGTCCCTTGGGAGACGATACTCATACTTTCATTGAACTACTTATACGATTTGGTACATTTGCCAAACGAGATAACAATTTACTTAAAATATATTTATATACTAACAAGTTGTTAATTTAAATAAAATGAATTTAATCTCCTTAAATAAAATCTCTAAATCGATTCTTATAAGTGAAAGAACATAATTAAAGGATACAATAAGTTAAATTTCAATAAAAATTAGTTAGTAAAAAAATATTAAATTAAGCATGATTTGTCTATTATACCCTAAACCAATATTAACATAGTTTCTAAAAGAAAAAGTTCACTTATTATAATTAAAAGACTATTTAAATGACTTAAAGTTTAAAATTTTTGAAGTAAAATATGTTTTCATAAAAGTCTCGATGACGTAGTTTATATTCAAAAACAGTCATATCCAATATACTATCACTTCTCTTCATACATTGTTCAATATTGTTACTTTTAAGGTATTATTATAAAAATTAACAAATGTATCATATACGATGATTTGTAATTAGATGGCAAAGTTAAATATATTTACATTATCATTACATGTATTATTTTTAATACACTATAAAAAGCATAAAAAAAAAGTTTAGTCAATAATATTTATTGATTGTTATTAAATTATGATAACCTGTTTTCACAATAAACTTCAGTCAAAATATTTATTGATCATTAAAATTAAACTTTTTTATTAAAAATATTGATCATATTCAATGTAAATGTATCTGTATATATACTATAATATGAATGAAAAAGAATTATTTATTAATTTCTTGACCAACATTAACGGTGCTATTTGAGAAGGTTGTGTTATGGTCTGTGTGTGAGAGTTGAGGAAAGAGAATGAGAATGTGGAAAGAGAACATAAGAGAGGAAGCAAAGAAGCAACTATGGCTGGCAGGGCCTATGATAATTGTGTGTGTCTGTCAATTTAGTTTACAAATGATATCTCTCATGTTTGTAGGTCATTTGAATGAGTTGTTTCTCGCTGGTGCTGCTTTGGGAACTTCATTTGTCAATGTTACTGGTTTCAACGTGATGGTATGTTCACACTCTTTTCCTTTTATACATGTTGTAGTTTACCAACTTTCAGGGTGTGTGAGATCTGTGCATGCCTCTGTTGAAGGTGTTCATTTCTCTGCCATCATTTTAACTTTAACCTATACCAATACATAATTGTCACAAAAAGAAAAAAAAAATGACTTATACAAGAAAAAATGACTTTTTACTTGCACGATAACCATATAAAATTCAAATACTTATATAACTATTTGTTGAAGATAAAATCTAAAAATTCGTTATATAACTATCATATTAAATAGATAGATCGTTTTTAAATAATATAAAATAGATATTAATTTATAAATTTTTAAGTTTTAATGACGGTTTTTATCAGTATAGTTTTTGTCAACTTGACAAACTTTGGATTACAAAACTGATATATGTACATTAAAAAAACTTGCATCATTCTTAATAACTTACACTTTTTTTTTTCTTGAACGAGCAAAATGTAAAACCAGGATAACTTTTTCTACGTACAAATTGCATCATTATCGAAGAAGAAGCATGACAAGTGTTTTAAGTTTTTAATAATTAATAATTAATGAGGTACAGACGCTTGTGTTTTATTGTTTGAGGTGTTCAGATGTGAAATATCATTTGACACTTTTACCTTAATAATTGATACTTGTATGATATGTATTGGACACTACTACTTGTTTCTTCTTCTTTTTTTTTTTTTAGATATTTGAACTGTGTACTTTCATACGGTTAGACCCTTTTAAGGATACAAACATTTTGAAAAAGAAAGTGTATTATTATATTTGTATATGTGTTATGTGTGGTTTTCGTGTTGGAATCTATACTTTGTTTTGGATTCAAAACTGTTATTTTTTGGCATCTATCTTCAAATATTTTACACAATTGTATATCCTTTTAATTTTTTGTGATTACTTATTTGGAGTTATTTACAATTCATTAATTTTTGTTATTTATTACCTTTTAATCAGTGTCAATCAAATAGAAGTAAATAACGAAATGCAATTGTTTAGCTTGAATTAAAACATTGAGATCAAGAAATTAAAAAAAAAATGTCTAAGGAAGAAAAATATTTTTATCTTTTTTAACTTATTTGCATTGTTTGCTTTTCATGGTGTTATTCTTACTCATGTTCATGGTCACTTGATTTAGATGGGAATGTCAAGTGTACTAGACACATTTTGTGGTCAAGCATATGGAGCAAGGCAATATCACATGCTTGGTGTACACACCCAAGGGGCCATGTTGGTTCTCACCCTTGTTACCATACCCATTTCCGTTATTTGGGTTTTCTTAGGGCCCATTCTAGTTGCTCTTCATCAAGACAAAGTAATTGCAGCCCAAGCCCAAATTTATGCAAGATACTTGATCCCAAGCCTTTCAGCCAATGGGCTTCTTCGTTGCATTGTCAAGTTCCTACAAACCCAAAGCATAGTATTTCCTATGGTGTTATCCGGTGGACTCACTTGCTTACTACACGTTCTTCTCTGTTGGATTTTTGTTATGAAAATTGGGCTTGGTTTCAAAGGATCTGCCATTGCAATTTGCGTTTCAAATTGGTTTAACACCATAGTACTTTCACTTTATGTTTGGTTCTCCCCGTCATGCAAAACAACTTGGACTGGTTTCTCAAAAGAATCATTGCATAACATCCCTCAATTTATCAAACTTGCTTTACCTTCAACACTCATGGTGTGGTATGATATTCGTTTCTGAACCAAATTTCACTTCCATAGAATGTACAATTTGCAACCATATAGTATGTGTTTGGTTTGTACTTGTCACAACTTTTAAGATACTTTAACAGAAAAGTTTGTCTTTTTTACTTAGGGTCAAACTGGGATTTGAGCATCTCAAATGTAAAAATGAACACATTTACAGTCATTTAAAAATTTACACTTAACGTAAGTCTACAGTAGTTAATTAGTCCTTAATATCATATTTTTGTCATCACTTTGGTTCTTGAAGCACAAAATTAATAACTTTAATTATCCTATGAACAATTTGATATCACTAATTAATATTAATGTAATATAGGGTATATTTTTGGAAGAATAAAATGCACTATCACATAGGGATTATTTGCAAAAACTTATTTCTCTTCCTAAAATGAGTGATACTGAGAAGTTCTAATTGTTGCTCTTATCGTATCACTATGTTGCAGCTTTGAAACATGGACGTTTGAAATAATGGTGCTCCTGTCTGGTGCTCTTCCTAATGCGAAATTGCAAACTTCTGTGCTTTCTATATGGTTAGTTTTTCAATTAATATCTTAGGGGCTATGCTACTATATGTTATGGATATTACATATATCATATGCTATTATATTTATCTTTCTCGTTTGAAAATTCCATTTTCTTCCCTTGTTAATGACCAACTAATTTTTGTTCATCCCCAGCCTCACCACAACTGGAATATTTTGGATGGTACCATTTGGAGTTAGTGCTGCTGGAAGGTTAGCCTGATTATATTATATTAGTATCCAAAAACAGACTTGAAAAAAAATAGTTTAAATATGTCACCTAAGTTTTAATTTATACATTTTTTCATATATGAATTGACTGTTGACAAAACATATTAATTACCGATATGACATATTAATTGTTAAAAAATCACTACATACATTATATATATGACACATTAATAATATATATGAATGGTTAACATGTTATGTCAATAATCAATATGTCATATCAATAATCAGTTAACGACTTTAGACAATCAATTGACAATGATAAAATATACAAAATTTTAAAAATTAAGTGATATAATATGTAATTTTGAAAGTTAATCAATAAAATTTGTAAAATTATGAAGATAAATAGCAAAAAAAAAAAAAAAACAAGTGTTACTAAGCCTTAAAAAAATGTGCATGCTATTAACATAACATGTGCTTTGTGCTTATTGTTGATCATATAAAACAAGTTTGATTACATGTTTGCACTTGAACAGTACAAGGATCTCAAATGAACTAGGGGCTGGTCGTCCAGAAGCTGCATTTGTAGCAGTTAAAGTAACCTTGTTCTTGGCCTCCATGGTGGGTGCTTTGGAATTTGCTGCACTTATGTTGATACGCAATGTTTGGGGGCGTGCTTTTACCAACGTACCTGAAGTGATCAAATATGTCGCTGCCATGATCCCAATTGTTGCAAGCTCTGCCTTTATAGATTCAATTCAAACAGGATTTCAAGGTATTCAATCAAATCATTCATTCAATCCAAAAAAATTTCCATTTTCCTTCCCTTTGGAAATTGGATTAAGTTGATTCCATGAAAAACAAAATAACCTCATTCAATTACATCACTTTTGTTATTTAACTATATATCTAATTACTAATGCAATTGAAATGCAATCTAACCCAAATGTTTACTCCTACGTGTGAACTTTGCTATATCTTTGTTAATGAACAGGCATTGCCAGAGGATGTGGTTGGCAAAAACTTGGTGCATTATTCAATCTAGGATCTTATTATATTTTGGGCCTTCCTTTTTCTATTGTGACAGCTTTTGTCTTCCACATGAAAGGACAGGTAAAATCTAACCATTTAATTATTAGTAAAAAAGAAATCTAACAACAAAAAATATCTTTGAAAAATTGGCTTTTAGCCGAGGTAAATGATGTCATGTAATTCATGTAATTGATCTGAGTTAGTATGTTAGGATGAAAATCTACAAGAGTTTTTCTCAGAAAATAACGAGTTTTTTTTATTAAAAAAAATCCTCAAAAACTCTTATATATTTGTAGCTATTAATATTGTTTGTTCCTAACTTGCATAAAATTGAACTTGTTAAACTGAAGCGAGTGATTATTTTGATTCTTGACAAGTACAGGGGCTACTTTTAGGGATCCTATTAGCACTTATTGTGCAAGTGGTGTGTTTTCTTGCTGTCACCTTACGCGCCAATTGGGAGAATGAAGTAAGTTTTGTATCTTTAACGTAAGATTTATTTGTGTAAACTTTTTCAAAAATATTTTTAAAAGAAAAAAAATAAGAAGAAAAAATCATTTGAACAAAACTCTTATGTGTATTAACACTTGTCACTTCATACAGTTTAACTAGTGTATTAGCACTAATTAATTTTTCTTCTTCTTTTCTTTTCTATAAATGTTTTTACAGAAGTTTATCTAATCTGACTTTTAATTATATTATCAACTCAGAATATTAACGAGTGTCTTCATTGTTCAGGCAAAGAAGGCAGCAACAAGAGTAAGGGGCAGTGGAGTCCAACTTGAGACACTTCCATCTAACCAAAATGTTAACACTGCTTGAAAGTTGAAAAACCTTGGATTAATGTTGGTTATATGAAGTGAAATCTTAGGATAAATGTATTTATAGCCGGTGAAAATGAACACACAAAAAAAGGAAGATTAAGTGAGCTCAAGATCCTGAATTCAGAGTTAGGAAGATTAGAAGATAACATTGCTTACTTTCTCTAGAATTATGTTAGAAGATAAATCAAATGCTTGGATGCATCTTTTAGGTGCAGTGTTGTTTGTATTATTGGTTGTATTCGTCATTCGCCCTGCCATGTTTTGCTCTCTTTGGACCTTTTGTTATCGTAGTAACCACTGTTTGTCATGGTAAGCATTCTATTTCATATCTTGTTAATTGATAAATAAAAAAAATTGAATCAATATTCTTGGGTGTAAAAAAAATCTTTAATAACTTTTCTGAAAACTCGCATTCACAGCATCTAAACTTATACCAAATTACTTGCAATATCTTGTTTCCTTTACCCTACCTAGACATCCATTAATTAATAAAAGCCAGGTGAATTGTGTTAATAAAATGGTTATCCATTAATGTTATGATGCTATATTAATTAGTTTTAATTGTGGATCTCTAGGTGTTGGAGGGTCTTGATGTTGTTCTTGATGTTGGGGGAGTGTATGACCCTGCCTAAGATCGCTATGATTTATCTTAAGCTATTGGGTTGTGTTGGTCCCCTTCTACAAATAAGCATGATTTTTTTTTTAAAAATGCAATCTACATCAGTTCTCCAAAGAACCGATGTAGATTTATGCTTAAATTTACATCGGTTCTCTGGACAACCGATGTAGATTTATGCTTAAATCTACATCGGTTTTTCAGAACTGATGTAAAAATGTATACATTTTCTACGTCGCTCTACTCTACATCGGTTTTAGAACCGATGTAGATGACTTTAGAGAACCAATGTAAAATATGCATCTTGTAGTAGTGCCACTCCTGATTCCTATAAATAGCCCTCTAACACTCCCAAAAGTACACTTTTTACTTCTGACTTCTTTTCCTTCTACACTCTCTAAAGATCGAGGGAAACCCAGAGGAGGAGATCAACCAAATCTAGCTTTAGTTTCAGCTACTGCTTATCGAGATACGGGGGAAAATGAGATTATTTGTATGTAAAGTTACATGAGAGAATTGGGTAAAGAAGGAATCCCGTAGGATTATGGGTAATTTTATAATTATTTCTATTTGAGGAATTGATGATCTAATTAGATTCTGAATGTATTGAGGATTAGAAATATGTAAATATTCGTAAACATGATGATCTGGGAGAGAGAACGAAATTGTAGAAAAGTGCTTATGAGTTAGGTTTCTAGAAAAATTGGGATTTTTACTATTTGGTTAAGATTTTATTAAATTGGTGATTCAATTGAGTGTTATATTAATTTATAAATGTTATTGTTATATTATATGGTAAAAATTGATGATTTAGAGGTGGATTCATGGTGAATTGCTCGAGAGGTATGTAAACCACTATTTTGTGTGGACTTATCTATATTGAGTATGTTGACATGAAATGAGATGTATTGAATGTGAACGTGATGTGTTTGTGGTTCCTTACACCTATTACCAAGGATGGCACGACCTTTGGCAAGAGATGCTACAGGTGCGACCTTGACATAGTGTTAATTGTAAGATTTGTGATGATTATGAATGTGATGTGATTGTGGTTCCTTACACATATGACCAAGGATGGCACGACCCTTGAGTAAGTGATGCTACAGGGATGGTGTGACCTTGGCATAGTGTGGGATGTGTGAGGCAATTAACACGTATCACTTATGTCAAGATGGCACGACCTTTGGCAAGAGATGCTACAGGTGTGACCTTGACATAGTGTTAATTGTAAGATTTGTGATGGTTATGTATGTGATGTGATTGTGGTTCCTCACACTTATGACCAGGGATGGCACGACCCTTGGGGAAGTGATTCTACAGGGATAGCGGGACCTTGGCATAGTGTGGGATGTGTCAGGCAATTAACACGTATCACTTATGTCAGGATGGCACGACCTTGGTCAAGAGATGCTACAAGCGTGACCTTGGGATAGTGTTAATTGTTAGATTTGTGATGATTATGAATGTGATGTGATTGTGGTTCCTCACACTTATGACTATGGATGGCACGACCCTTGGGTAAGTGATTCTACAGGGATAGCGTGACCTTGGCATAGTGTGGGATGTGTGAGGCAATTAACACGTATCACTTATGTCAGGATGGCACGACCTTGGTCAAGAGATGCTACAAGCGTCATCTTGGCATAGTATTAATTGTAAGATTTGTGATGATTATGAATGTGATGTGATTGTGGTTCCTCACACTTATGACCAGGGATGACACAACCCTTGGGTAAGTGATGCTATAGGGATGGCGTGACCTTGGCATAGTGTTGGATGTGTGAGGCAATTAACACGTATCACTTATGTCAGGATGGCACGACCTTGGGAAAGAGATGCTACAGGCGTGACCTTGACATAGTGTTAATTGTAAGATTTGTGTTGATTATGAATAAAATGTGATTGTGGTTCCTCACACTTATGACCAGGGATTGCACGACCCTTGGGTTGTTAAGTCAAACAAAAATGATAGAACTTCCCAGCAAGGTTTTGAATGAGACAAATATAATACTTATTGTTATTACTAACATTTGTGTTAGTGTTTCAGATATAAGCACAGGTAAACCAAAGAATGGAAAATATACATCCACACCAGAATCAAGAGATATGAGTCAAGCATCAAGAAAATGCATCAGACGAAGACACCTACACAAAGGAGTAAAGAAATAAGACACGAGCAATCAAGATGAAGGACGTCTTAGGTTTTATTTTTAAGTTTTATTTTCAATTATTTTGGATATTGAAGAACAATTAAGAAGGTTTTATGTGAAACATTTTTACAACAGTTGAAAAATTTATTTCCTTAGTTTATTTACATTATTACAATATATGTGTTAGGGGTAGTAAGGGTGTCACATATAATTTCTTGCCCAATTCCATTACAATAATTTGCATATTTAATTTTCCCTTTCAAAATCTGAAATATAGAAAATACAAAAATAATCTTAAAACAAAAGTATGTTTATGTTTCATGAAGAGTAATAATGAACTCCAAATGAGTTTTCTATTTCAACCATGAAGAAAAAAAAATTAATAACTGGCTAACTCTATTACCAAAAGACAAATATTTCAATCTCATGTTGCATATGTTATTGTTGGTTTACCAAGTCTAATTACATTTAATATGTTTACTCTAAACAGTACAAGGATCTCAAATGAACTAGGTTCTGGCTGGCGAAAAGCTACTTATTTAGCTGCTAAAGTCACCTTATTAATTTCCTTGAGAGTATATTTGGATGAATAATTTAAATGAAGTAATTCATTTGTTTGAAGAATTACAAATTATTTGAAGTAAAATATTTCGTTTGGGTGGAGAATTTATAAAGAATTTGAAATCCAAGCATTTGTAAAATTCTTTGAAATAATAGAAATTTAAAATTTCCCAAAAAAGTAAAAATTTAAAATTCTTCATATTTTTTTTTCTTATTTTTCTTATATCTCAACATACAATTATATTTTTTAAATCAATGAATCAAATTATTATATCCAAACTAATAATTTAAAATTTAAGAAATTTGAATTGACTTATCCAAACAAAATATTTTAAAAATTATAGAAATTGAAATTAAAGTAATTCAAATACAAAAAAATTAAAATTTCTTAAATTTGTAAAAATTTTCATTCAAACACACTATATTAGTTGGGGCTTTTGGATTTACTCTTGACATACTAACAAGGAACATTTGGGGCCATATTTTTATCAATGTAACTGAAGTACAGTAAGTTATGTGGCCTCCATGACACCAATTCTTGCAAGTTCTGTCTTTATTGATTCGCTTCAAACAGCATTATCAGGTATTGAATAAAATCACTCAAAACTGTGATCCCTGTTACCAAAAGTTGCACTAAAATTAACTTCTCATCACAACTTCTAAGAACATTATGCATGAACTTTTCATAAGCAAGTATATGAGGAAACTGAATGGATTCCAACTCATCTAGTGCCTAAAAATAAAAAAGCATTGCAGCATTAATGTGTATCTAATTATGCCTAAAAAGTAAAGGCACTACTATTATTAGCATGTGATTTCCGAACAAAATTTTCTCTATACCATAAATATAAAATCTGTTTAGATACGAATTTAAAAGGATTTTTCAAAGTTTCTTTTCAAAAGTTAAAAAAAAAATTTGGCAGAAATGTTCTTAAAAACACTTCTAACTTATATTTAAAGATACTCATATACTCTTATTAAAATTGTGGCGCTTTAACATGTATAATTACTTTTTTGAATTTAAACTATTTTATAAGTATCTATCTATTTATAATATAAAAGTTAAATTATTTTGTATTACGTTGACAAGTCAGCTTAAAATATCTCTAAAATATTGTCATGTCAATAAAATTGCTTATGTGTCATTCTGAATTACTCCTCTTATTTTGATGATATAACTATATAATAACTACAAATTCTAATGTCTCCCTTCAATGAGCTCTCTTTTCAGACACAAGTCGGTCCTAACCTCGATCCAACCGAGCATATTACTTTCTTTACTTTCTCAGAAAAAGAATCTAACTTAGAAGGATGTGCTAGAACTTCTCTCTATTTATTTATAATATAAAATCCAAACTACTTTGTATTACGTTAACATGTCAGCTTAAAATATCTCTAAAATGCTGTCATGTCAAAAAAATTGCTTACGTATCATTTTGAATTACCCTTCTTATTTTGATGATATAACTATATAATAACTACAAATCCTAATTTATAATATAAAAGTAATAATAACTACAAATCTTAATGTCTCCCTTCAATGAGCTCTGTTTTTAGAAACAAGTGAGTCCTAACCTCAATACAACTAGGCACATTACTTTCTTTACTTTCTCATAAAAAAAGAATCTAACTTAGAAGGACGTGCCAAAACTTCTTTGTATGTAATATAATTATAAAAATATTGTCATTCTTCATTTTTTGCCTTATCTGAAAGGTCTGCTAAGCATATATATCTAAATTAATTTTTCTATGAAATTATGAAATAATGTTAGTAAGGTTTAATAAATAAATATACTCACACGTTAATAAAGACAGACATATATCATTGGTATTCTCACCTACTATGTTATTAATTTTAATAAA